TCCACTTAAATAAAAACTTGTTTAGGATTCAAGTTTTGCATCCCTTTCAACACATCTAAGGACACGAAATAAAACCGTCTGTAGCGTACTGCTGGCTTAATGCGTTTCCTGTTTAATTTCAGGAGGAAAATGAGAAGAAAGCACTAAAGGAGCCCTCAGACACAGAGCCAGCGTCCGCAGAGAGGTACCTAATGTTAGCTTAGTTTGATTGTTTTCCCCCATTAGGAGCTCCAGACTCTATTACATTTGATCCAGCATTGAATATAGACCAATTAAATTTTACCAAACAATTACGTTGACATGTTGGCGGTGTGGAAGCATTTGAAAGTGTCCGAGAAAAATCGCAGTTTGCAGACACTATCCGCACCATCTGTGGCTGACTTTTTAGAAAAGGCAACAAACGGTCTGACCCTCTTTGAGTGTTTTTGTCACTCGTTTGTGAGAAGACGAGTAAGCTCACCTCACCTAAATTAGGAGTGCACATGTTTTCAAGGCTTTATGGTAAATCCACTGAAACAGACCACAGCAAGCTGACGGGCAGGTTAGCGACTTTATCTTTTTGGGCCTCGGACCCACCCACCATAGTCTCTCCAAATCCTGTGGGAAACACTGAGTAAAAAGCAAATTTTGACTATTTAATTTATGCAGTAATGAAAAAGCAAAATAAACAAATGGGAATAAATGGGGAAAAATGTGAATTTACTTATTTGGTATTTTGCAAATTTTTTATTATTTTATATTCGGCTTCAGCCAAGAATTTGTATTTTGGTGCATTCCTAGTTTAGCTGAATTGTTTTGTGGAACGCTTTTGAAGTAACATCAAAAACCTGAAAATCTGCAGTCTCAGTTTTGGCATATGAGCTGCTACCCTCACACACTAGCTCATAATCATCGGCGCCCCCTTTTAATTTATATTGCTACACGCTCCCTCTTTTGCAGGACTTTATTGTGAGGCTGCGACCACATTAAACATACTGTTTGTGGCTAGTTGTAAATCTTCTTTGTGTGTGTCTTCAGTGTTGCACGTAAAAGAAGGGGACCCTTAAAGCACATCAAGTTCGGAACCAACATCGACGTGTCGGACGAAAGGAAGTGAGTGTGGATTTCATCTCACCACGTCTTGAAACTTATATTATTTGTTGTCTTTTCAAGATGCTTTGAAACACTTATAATGACTCCTCGCCTCCACCAGGTGGAAACAGCAACTCCAGGAGCTCAGTAAACTGCCAGCCTTTGCTCGAGTCGTATCTGCCGGCAACCTGCTCAGCCACGTGGGTCACACCATCCTGGGTATGAACACAGTCCAGCTCTACATGAAGGTCCCCGGGAGCAGGATAGCAGGTTAATACACACTGAACCACGTGCTTACTTTCTGAGTCACTTGGTAACTACAGTTTATTATTTATTCTGAGAGTTGTGCATGAGTTTGGTATGTGGACTTGTGCAGTGAAGAGATTTTTGTCTCTCTAGGTCACCAGGAGCACAATAACTTCTGTGCCGTCAACATCAACATTGGTCCAGGCGACTGTGAGTGGTTTGCTGTACCAGAGCCGTACTGGGGAGTGATGAGCAACTTCTGTGAAAAGTAAGATGGACTGGATGACTGTGTCTGTGCTACCCCCATACCTCCGATTCCTTGTATCTGCCCATCACCCTTTTCCCTCACTTTCATATATCCATCACAACTCTCTTTCCCTCCCCTCACACCCAGGAACAACATTAACTTCCTGATGGGCTCGTGGTGGCCCAACCTGGAGGACCTGTACGAGGCAGACGTTCCCGTCTATCGCTTCATCCAGCGTCCAGGCGACCTGGTGTGGCTCAACACCGGCACTGTCCACTGGGTGCAGGCCATCGGCTGGTGCAACAACATCGCCTGGAACGTAGGACCTCTCACCGGTACGCCTGGGGATATGTGTTAATGTTTATGGGACCTAAGAAGCCAGCATTTCTTACTAATGTGAACTATTTTCCCCTGTTTTTGTTTTTTTTGTTTTTTTTCTCATCTTTGATTGTCTTTCACCACTTAAGGCAACAAAAAATAACCTTTGTTTATACATGTACTACTGAGAAAGGAGGTAGATAACCTAACAAAAGTCAGCCAGAATTGTCTTGCAGGACTTATGTCTGTTATGGTGACCTTTTACTGTGATGTTGGAAATGTTATTTAGCTGATTAGTGACCTTTTTAGCTGATAACTGAGCTGATTACAGCAGGATTTAATTTCCTGTCTACAACAGATGCATTTCAGACGGCGTTGTCTGTGTGATGGAACAAATACGCTTCCATGTTTACATAATGTCTATATAATAATATATAATAACATAATAAGACCTTTCTTTGCGAAGGCACCTTTCAGTGCGTATAAACATCTCCCTGGTTTCCTGTGTTCATGTTTGGTATGTTTTGCCTCTGCTTTTTCAGCGCACCAGTACAAGCTGGCTGTGGAGCGTTACGAGTGGAATAAGCTCCAGAGTGTCAAGTCCATGGTTCCCATGGTGCACCTCTCCTGGAACATGGCGCGCAACATCAAAGTGTCCGACCACAAGCTGTTTGAAATGATCAAGTGAGTCCCGAAATCCTTCACCTTTCACTCTCAACAGTTTGTATTATATGTTTGACTTTGTGGTCTTTTGCATAAGCTGGATTTTAATTTAATTTATTTATCCATCCATCGTCAACCGCTTATCCTGCGTACAGGGTCGCGGGGGGCTGGAGCTGACATCGGGCGAAAGGCAGGGTACTCCCTGGACAGGTCGCCAGTCCATCACAGTAATTTATTTATATTTAATTTAAAATAATTTATTCTTGTCAAAAAGGTACTGCTTGCTGCGGACATTGAAGCAATGCCAGTGGGTGAAGGAAGCCTTGGCTTCAGCCGGCAAAGAAACAGTGCTGAGGCCGAGGACCAGGGACGAACCAGCCCACTACTGCACCATCTGTGAGGTCAGTGAGCACACCGGGAACATTTTAGCATCACAGGTGTGAATTCTAACAGGATTTTACATTTCTGGGTAAGAGGCTCCCACTTATTCCTAATATAAAATAAGTGTCTTGCCATGATGCTTAGCATTATGAGTGATGCTCTACACCGTACATGTTGGATTAGAACCAATGGATCTGTCCCGATTGTGTCTCTCTGCTGGTCTGAATCTAATCATTTGTGGTTCAAGATTTATTCAAAATGTCTGAAAGTATGTGGAGAAAGTAGATGTCAATACTTAAGATTAATTTATGCTACAATTCTGCAGTTTGAGGGATTTTGGACAGCATCAAGCCTTGTGATCAGTTGACACTGAATTAAAGACAGACTCCGTTTGTGTTTGAGCTAATTAATGGGTATGCTAATGGCTTCATGTGAATGCAGGGATTTCAGCTATTTAGAAGAAATGTGTCCAAATTCAATGTCTGCTGTCATTGCGTCTTAGCAGTTATTCTGTTATTCACCATCTGTGTAGCAGCTCCAGGATTTGTCTCTAGATGACATCACTGCATTTCTGCTGTTCAGCTTCATTCAGATGTACAAAAAGCTCAGTTACAGTATGATAGCATCTATATTGTGTGTGCTTTGCAGGTGGAGGTGTTCAACCTGCTGTTTGTGCGCCGGGAGCTTCTGTCCAAGAAGCAGTATGTGGTCCACTGCCAGGACTGCGCCAGGAAAGGCTGCGCCACGCTGGACGACTTTGTGGTGCTGGAACAGCACAGGATGGAGGACCTGATGCAGGTCTATGACCAGTTCACATTAGTAAGTCACCAGCGTGAGGGAGAGATGGACTCGAGGCGATTGTTTCTTCTTTCAAACTTAAGGAAAATTCCAGTAAATTGTGACCGGTTATCATGAAACAACATTAAGTCTTGTGTATCATCTTCCTCCCCAGGCCCCTCCTCTTCATTCATCTTCATCTTGACATTAGATGACCCCTATTTCTTCTGCTGTGGAGCCATGAAGCCCATTTACAGGAACTTGTATTAAGATATAAAAGAACAAACATCTACATACGCGGACCATTTCTGATATTCAGGAAAGCCAAGGCCATCTCCCCAACCCCACCACATGACTGGTCTCCATAACGCCGGCTGGAGGCTGAGGCGTCTGAGTGTGTCTGTCTATGCAACCTGTTTGAAGTGCTGGAGCCTTGCCCTTCCAGGGGTGGGGGGCGCCACTGAGCTCGCTAACAGGACTTCTTTCTCTCTTCTCCCTTCCCAGCCCCCTCTAAATGACAATGGTTCAGCCCTGTTTTAATGGAGGACTTAATCAAAAACGGTTGGGACGAGGGGGAGGAGTGGGATTCTTAATGTGTGATAAAAATGTTTTGTAGATACTTGTTAACTGTCACAACTGGCAACACCACCCGTAAAAGACTACTGACTTGACAACCTTTCTCTCTCTCTCTCTCTCTCTCTCTCTCCCCCTTTTTCGATTCTGGTAACAGGATGAAATGTTGGCTTTGATTTATAGAACTTCCCCCAGACTTTCTTCCCTCTAAGGAGCACTAGCCTAACTGGTCTTTTTCTATGGTAGATAGTGATTTTAAGACTCTTTCGACAGCAAAATCTCCAAAAAAATTTGTAATGTGAAGAGTTTAGGTGACTTTCTTTTTTTTTTTTTTTTTTACAGCTTTTGTTTTACTTTTGCGTTTGTCTTGTTCTTTTCAAAACTATGATGCTTTGTTTGTTTATTAGGTAAAAAAAAAAGGAAAAATTTAGGAAAAAAAAACTTACTAGCCAAGTCACAAAGAGAATGGGTTGCACATAGACTTATGGAATAAAGTTTAATTTGTGATTATTTTTTGTCTGTTTCATTATGTTTCTAATCTTGATGTAAATTTACACTATTTATAAATACATATTTATTGCTTGAAAATATTTGTTGATGGAATGCTGTTATTTTTTCCAGAATACCTGCCATTAAATTTGAAGGAGTTTTGTCATTTTAACACAACTCCTCTTACATTTTCTATATATAAATAAAATTGCTTAGCAAGCATTGTACAGAAACGGACATTTAAAATTGTTTTATTGTTTGAAGAATGTTTTATGATGAGTCAATAAACACAAAGTTGTCAAATTATCCATGCCTTTTGGTTCCTCAAACATACAAAACTTCCATATATTCATTTGGTATACAATTTAAAATGCATACATAATAAAACCAAGAAACATTTGTAGACGTTGATGTGTACGAGTATAGGCCTGAAACCCAGCAGACAATGTAGCTGTAGACTGACACACAGAATCCTACACTATATGCCAGGTCCAGAACTTACCCAGTATCTCCAAAAAGTCATTTTTATTGAAAAAAAAATAAAAGCCTGTGGCAGAGTTAATCCTAGACTGCATGGGTAGTTTTGGAGGACAGCAGGAATTTTCTCTTCACAGGGGGTGGGCCCTCAAGACATTTCTTTGAAATTTAAAAGCTACATAGCAGCAAAGATCACAAGAGGAGGGAGTGAAGTACACAGAAAACACTCTACAGAGTACATTTAAACTTAAAATTCAATCATACATTGTGTCATGTCTCCACAATAACATGGCTGCCAGCTGAGACCCAGTAGCCAGATGTAGCTGCTGCCAGCCCCACAGGATCTACACTGACTACTGAGCAACCGCTGGGCGCCCTGTGGCTCTGCAGCTCCAATTAGAGCCAAAATGGCTGCCACACCAGCCAATCAGGGAAATTAACGAGGAGGGAAATGACTTCATGCTGAGGGAATATGATAAACAAGCAGGTTCCATGGGATCCACTGCTTTTTGGTCAGAAAACAGAATACTCTTAACACAGCTCTTATCCAAAAAATGGTGACATTCCACCTGAAACACTGAAGTAGAGGACTGCTAACAGTACAACAGGCCCTTTTCTTTTAAACACTTGCACCTTTACCTGTAAATGCCAATTTCTTGTGCTGGCAATGTGTGAAAAGGTTGTTTGCTGGAGTCAAATTGTCCATGTTAAGATGCTTCAGCAGGGTGCCAACTCGGATGTCCTGCGACATTGTAAGTTATGTCATCTTGGTGAGGATGTAAATTTATAAGATTATATGATGATAAGACTTTCCTCTATGTATTTTTACTTGTCAAGTAGGCATTGCTTCATTTTAAAGGCTCACATGAGCATCCAAAAAAGTCTGGCAAACACTGCTGTAAATTTAGTACAACTTTTACTGTAGAGTGACTCTTTATGGCTTCAGCTGGACCGCTAACATGTTAAATACACACAATACTACCTGCAAAGGAATACACCTCAGATGCCCTTCCTCAGATGGGCATTCCTTCCTCAGATGCCCTTCCTACAGCCACGCTAGCTGACATTGGTGAGATAAAATATTTTAGCATTGTCCCAGTGAGCATGTTAGCTACAGACTCACAGAGCTGCTAGCATGGCTGAAGACTCTTAATTTTCAGCACATAGAGAACCTTTTGGATGTAAATAAAATAAATAAAATGTGACTGATTTAAAAAGAGCATTTACAGGTTGAGGTGCATGTGGCAAAGGAGCTAAACTGCCATTTCCCTCCTCATCCCCCTTTTTGCCTTTCAGCGTTGTACAGTCCCTCTGCTCCAATGCTGGAAGCAAGATGGCCGTTGTAGTGTCCATTTTGACTGCCACAGATGGGCGCTGGAGGACTCTCCGCTGCCTTTCCTGGGGTGTCCATCTGCTGTTTGAAGTCTGACAGGAGTCCTGGGAAAGAAAGACGTTGGGGTTATTTTAATCGTATGGAGGAGAGTTTGACTGTGAAACTGCACAAAAGACAACAAGACAGCTGAGTTTATCCCCATGGGAAATTAAGAATCCAACATATATACAGTATATTCAACATTTGAAAATAGCAATAAGAATTGAATTCTCTGGCGGTCATCAAGCAGCGCTGATATGTATTGTATATATTTTTTGCTGCTGTTGTACATTGCCTTTTCTGTAATACGAAACATTTTGACTCCCACAAACTCCTTTACTTTATTGGCGGAGGCAGACAGGAACAAAACCAAGTGTGGGTTGAAGAAAAATCATGATTCTAGGAAAGAAGATAGTTTTAGAACAGGAAGTCTTCATCAGTTAAGAAGATGACTTCCTGTTGGCTGTCTGAAACGACAAAGGCAGGAAACATGAGTTTTGCGATACAGTGGCAATAGTGTTAAACGTTAAGGGAGATGGTTTAAGGGATGGGTGGCAGAAGGGAAAATATAGGGTCATTTCCTCACTTATAGCCTACTTAACATTCTGTATGCTGAAGCGTTGGCACGCCATACGGAGCTATCTACTGCCAAAACTCTGTCATCACACAAGGTGTTCAATAGGCTTAATCCCAAAAAGTTGGAAAAGACCTTTAACTCTCCTCTCCCTATATATTCCACCTATATCCTCTGTGAAATCTGGCAGTGATCCAGCAGAGAGGTATGTGAACTCTGCTTGGCCCAGACCCTCCCCCCTTAAATCCAGACCGCTCAACAATGTCTCCCTGTATTGCAGTGGGGGGAAAAGAGCAAGAGAGAAGTTAAACCAGCAGTGTGATCGATGCCCGCTCTCCCCCTGCCTCATCTCTCCCCCTCATCTCCTTCCTTCCTGTTCCCTCCATCTCTACCCAGCCTGCGCTGCCGTTTCCTCCTTTGTCAGAAACAGACAGGTGGCCCCTGACTGCTAATTTTAACCGGGCCGATTGTCTGCCTGTGTTCCCCACAGCTATGTATAGATGCCTGTAATAAACCAAGTAGATCAGTGTGTGACACTCTCTCACACTCACACACACACACACAGCCCTATAGGCACGCACACACCACCTGACCTATAGAAATGTCTGACTCGTCCATTCATCCATTCCCGCCTTTGTTGGAAATGATCCTCTCTAATTGGCTATTGCTCTCATCCAATGGCAGACCTTCCTGCTGCCCATTCATAAAACCCAAGGTCATTGAGAATAATGTAGTATTAAGGCACATGCAAAGACGAGGGCTAAACCTATTTATAATAGCAAATTCGCGTTTGTGCATTTTGATGTCTCAAAATCCTTTTCCTCAATTTGTGTAATGTTTAGTGAAATTCAATCCTTTAAATTTAAACAGTGTGGCTCCATTCAGCCTGACACAGAAGCACAACATTCCTGTGTTTAATGAGTAATAACCAGAGTGCAACTCAGGTTGTAATAAGCTCCGCTTATTGTCAGGCCATCGCTCTCTTTCTGCCCCTCCATCCCCCGCTCAGGTTCGACTCAAAAGGTGCCAACACACACTCCCTGAATTCACTCCTGTTTGTTTCTTCCCACCGTAATTACCACCACTGCAGGTTCTGTGACCCGCTTCAGTGTTGAGTTACACGTTTATATATAGACACATGTCTGTGTCAAAGTGACTCACTTTTATGGAGCCTAATGTGTGACATCCAGAGCACAGACCTATGGCGCACAAGGGAAATAAAGGGGGGAGGGGGACTCATTCATACAAGCTGAATAGATCTTTTTATAAAAAAAACTTTTCAGCATGTCCTCACTGAATAAACAGTTCTACCACTGATGGATTAATTAATCATAATTTATGGTAAACTGGCTATTCCATCTGTTCTGCCAGAATACAGTGCCAAGATGGCCAATAATAAATCATGTAATGCCTGGGCCTCCTTGTTTGGGTTTTGTAAGAAAACCACATTTTAAAACCCCGGAAAACTTGGTTTCAAATCTTACGTATTACAAGACTAAAAACATTTAGATAATCTTCTTCATCAGGACTGTGCGTGTGTGGTTCGATCAGATTTGATTGAGAGTGAGCAAAGTAACCCACAATAGTCATTGCACTTTGATTCAAATGTTGCTAAATCCTGATTAGTTCACGGGCGTATGTGTTTTCCAACTGAGCCCCGCCCTCATTGCAACCGGTGAGAAGAACCCAACAAAAACACTCACAAAAAATATTCCAGACTGTGGCAGAACACTGTACGTTCATGTAGGCACCCATCGCTGGAAGTAAAAAGTCGTTAGAGGAAATGGGGTCTTCGGGGCCTTTAACTTAATCAAAAATGAGTTTATGAAATGAAACATACTGTAATTGTGTAAGTGATGCAAAACTCTTTCTGCTATTGTTCTCTTCACCTACATATTCTATAACCAGCTATCAAAGGCATTCTGGAAAATAACTAAGTAAAAACACACAAATGATATTATACTAATATACTATACTAATTTTTGCCTCGTTCTTGATCATTTGGTGATGAATGTCGATTGTGTAGCTGCAAGATAAAATCCATCCACTCAACAATATACTGTTGCCTCAGTCGAATGATGTGATGTTTGCGATGGACTATCCAACATAACAAAAAAAATGAAAAAAAAGAAGAGGTGCTACCCATTGCCATGGAAACGGAGAGTAATTAGCACAGAGTGCTGTTCAGAGAAAAGGAGAGAGTGAGAGGGTGTATGATTTTTGTGTGTGTGTGGGATGTTGGCCTGCTTCCAAGAGATGAGCAATGAGAGGAGAAAGAAAAGGAGATGAAGTAACAGTGGCCCCTGTGCAGGTTTCAGGTATCGTTACACACCGGCAGAGACAATAACTTCCTCTGCGCACTCTCAGTCTTTCACTGTTGAATTTGATTAAGAAATTAGCACTTTTGCTGGAGGAAAAAAGTCAGACAGATTTCCTCAGTGCTGCCCCCCCCTCCCCAAAAAAGCCTCGTTGCATGTTTAAACAGGGACTGTAACTGGAAAGCTGGGTTCAGCTGTTGATTTGGCTCACGCTGCTACAGTCCCCTATGTACTACGGATGTCTCTGTCCATCTGTTGGTCATGTGACATTTGTTTCACTGATTTTTGACGAAAGCTGGACACGGGACACATCTTCACATTGTGTTCCAGCACTTGAACAAAGAGTACGTTTACTAAACGTCTTTAATTTGATGCATGCAAGCAGGAGTTTGGCATGGGACATGATGAAAGGAGGGATTATTCTAAGTGTTAATCAGTGCGATAGCAGTTATTTGATGGAGACGGCACTAAAGAGTTTCTGTTTCCAGGATGTAAAAGTGATGTAATATAATATAAAATGCTTCTTTAGCATAAAATTATACAATTTTTAACTGATAAAACTTTCTTTTATTTAGGTAGAGGCAGATACAACAAAAAGAAATGGTGATTTTTTTTACAGGAAAAAAAGCTACTATTAAAGTTTCGGTTTAGATATACAATTTAGACAAAACTGCATACAATAATGCATTTTGTCACTGATGCATGTCACTGCATGCATCATTCATGGAGGATGACATGCACTTATCTTCATTTCTGAACTTTATTAATAACACTGACTCAGCAGGATGCCGTTTACCACAAACATCCTGCTTCAAATCCATGCATTTCTACTCATTTGTACAGTAGAGCAACACCAAGCTACCTGGTTGTCACTGAGCGGAAGGTTACAGGTTCAATTCCTTTGCTCAAGAGCCCCTAAACTGACACCTGAACGTGGACTTTGCTCCAGGATTCACCCCCAGTCATACAGCTGCTCTGTCCCCTACATAAATCAACGACAAATCTAATCCAAAAACAGTATTTAATAAGACAATGCTTAGTGCATTTTCACACAGTACAGACACACTCCAAACACCCACACAGTTGGCACACAATACGCCGCTGTTCTTCAAGTATCAAACGGCTCCTCAATCACACGCTCCTCTAAAACAGCTAATGGCTGTCGCAGCCCACAGGCGTATATGCTAAGAACAATTATGCAGATGTGTTCTAAAACCATTTTGGTGGTATAATCCAGCAATCAGTCCATTATAGTAATTGTCATTAGCGAGTGGGCGATTACGGTTTCAACAGAAAAGAACAGGCAGAGCTCCACTGGTTTTATGCAAATCTGGTAAGCCCCATTTAATATGTCAGATGTAATGTCGCTATATTTTCTGAAGTTGACGCCCAGCTAGGGGGAGAGAGTGTGTGTGTGTCACCACCTGAGGGGTTGACAGGCAGGTGCTGTTAACAGAAAAAAAAGAATTTTACAGAAAGTATGAACTGAATTCAGGTTTCAGGGACTGTACACAAATTATTGAGGGACAAACAGGATGGAGGGTTATGCAGTTTTTCTTTTTGCTGAAGGAAGTTTGGAAGTTTTTGGGAGAGCAGTATAAGGGCTTTCATTTTTCCATGCTCCAGATTTATATTTTAGTTAATTTTTTCTTGTGTGATTTGCTGTAAAAAAAAAAAAAATTAATAGTTTTATCAAAATAGTTGTGTTAAAAACATGGTCTTTCATATGTTGCTAGCCAGTAGTCACCTTCTTTAACAGAACTACAGTAAGGTTGTTGGAACTTGTATCATACAGAACTAACCTAAATAGAGAGCAGCTGGGATGTTCAGTTAACAGAAGGCACCATTTGTTATGTTAAGCATAATTAACAACAAAACTTGTTTTTAAAAAGTGAAACATGAGGTTCAGCACCCCTCCCCACCCAAATCATTTTTATACAGTCCCTAAATTCAGTGAGAAGCGATTGGAAAGGCATAACCTGTCATAAATAAACAGCAGGTACATTCATTAGTTTTAGATAGATGTCGTTTTGAGTGTTAGTTGCATTTTGTACTTTATTCTATGGTATCACAACAGTATAGGTCTGGTAGTTTTTTGTGTGTGATACTTGTCAGTGCTGAGGTCAACTGACCACTTTGTCCAGTTGTAATGCATCAGCTGGGAGCTTATGGGTGTCATGTGAGGAGGCAACATGTCAGCAGCTCCAATAATGTTGTTAACTTAAAGAGGAAGGCGAGGAATGTATCCTAAACTCAACCCCTATCCTCCTCCTCCTTCTCCTCCTCCTCTTCAGTCATGGGTTCTCCGCTGGGTAATAACATACCAAAAACACAAGAATTTCCCGTCTCTTCTCTCCAGGCAGGGTCTACCCTCCCACCCACCCTATATGGTCAAGCTGGCTGGAGTTAAACAGAAACAAACCGGAAACTATGCGAGTTTTTGCATTCAAACTAAAAGCATCTATTTCTTGTGAAAAATGTAAAGAAATTTAGTGCACTTAAAGGTAAGACTAGAAACACGACTGAGAATGTGTTTAGTGGCCTGAAATAATAAATATAAAATACTTACAAGATTACAGACAGTAGTGGTAAAATTAAGACATAATTTTATAAAACTCCTACAGAAATTATAGTAGGCTCAGTTATATAAAAAATGGTAACCATAGTCCTAGTGTCACTATTCATAGCATATATCATAGCTGAAATACTAGAGCTGAGGAGATTAGTTGGTCAATTGATAGTCCAACGACAAAATGATCAGATTGTTATCGATTAACCAAATTTGTTGAGCTAATATATTCCCTCCTTCCATCTTTTCAATTCACAGGTTGTTTTTCTTCATCTTATGTAACAGTATATGGATAATTATTTGGGTTTGAACTGTTGATCATAAAACACAAAGTTTTTAAAGACATCAACTTGGGAATTTTTCAAGTTTTTTGCCATTTCAAAATCGACACATGAAGATGAAGATATACTTTATTTAATCCCCAGAGGGGAAACTCAATGTTTTCACTCTGTTAATATACACACAGGTCTGAAAGACATGCACATGCAGAAACACGACCCATAGCAACACACGGAGAGATGTCAGAGTGAGGGGGCTGCCAGTCAGTACGGCGCCCAGAGCAGTTGGGGGTTCAGGAGGTTGGAGGTTGCTCAAGGCCTCCTTCGGCAGTGCCCAGGGGTTGAACTGGCACCTCTCCAGCTACCAGTCCACGCTCCAGCTCGGACCAGAGTTGTGGAGCTTGGACTGTGCCAGTCAGAGAGGTGCCACATTAAATCGACAATGAAAGCAGTAATTTGAATATAAACTGATGTAGAGCAAAATAATGTCAAAATATTTCATTAAATCATCTGACTCGCTAATTGCATAAACATACTGCCAATATAATCTCAATTTTTATTGTGTAGGATAAATGGGAAACGTATTTCCTTTGTTTGCGTCACTCTTGCAAGTTTATCCGACCCTTATTGTGAAATATGACACCGGAAGTCTAACTTTTATTGCCTCTCACTTGCCGCAGGTGGCAGCGGTTCAGAGAGCTGCTTTGAGAGCTGCTTCCCAAACTGCTCTTAATGTGAAAAATACAGAGAAAACGCCGGGCGCATTCCAGAAACATCCATGCCCGACCGTGACAGCTTGCTTGCGTATGCGTGCGCGTATGTGTGCGCTGCAAACCGTGCGTCTCTGCGGGGGTGGAGAGCTTGGAGACCACACACTTTGCGCATTGCCCCCCAAACCCTCCTCCCCTCCCACACACACACACACACACAGGACCAAGCAGCACACTTGGCCCTCAAAGTAGCAAAACATTTAAGTTGCGAAAAAGAAAAAGTGATCGTTCAACAACACTGTAGATGTGGCTTTGGGTTAAAAAACAACAGTTTGGTGCGTGAAAATCCCTGTTTTTAACCAGGTGGAGACTGAAATGTGCTCCCTGGAGAAGCTCCGCATGGCCAAAGCAAAGCATAACTGAGATGATGAGGCGAACTTTGGCCAAAGTGAGCGGTTAGTAACGACACTGGTGTTGAATAAATACAACAATACCGAATTGTTTTGACGCTTTTCAGTCCGATCACACGCTGCGTTGCGCAATCTGAATGGATAGGCTGGGATCGGTGCCGACGAACGAGAAAAAGTCTGTTAAACTTCCCTTTCTCCAACACGGCCAACAACACCAACGACAAGCCGAAGCTGGAGAAAGATGTTATAATCCCCCCACACGGGAGATAAAGTGCCGTATGAAAACTTGCTCCACTTACCCTGGCTGCGTCTCCTGGCCGCATGTCCCCATGAGAGAGCTGTGTGTGCGTGTGCGTGCAGAAGACGCATACCGATACTAGAGGTCGGAAACGCAGCGCGACACGTCAACGCGTGTTGCCTCCATATCATAAGGGGGATTCTTCAGCTGCTATGTGGCTTCAACAGTGCACAAACTGGAGTCCGGGGACCTCCGGGGTGTCCCCGATTTAGAAAAATAAGTAGTGGAACAAAGCACATGTGAATGGGGTTTGAAGAGAGGAGCACAGAGGCAAGGTTGCATGCAATCAAAATCAGTTCATTAAGGTTAGAAGATCCAGTCTCTGCAGTAGCTAATAGGCTGTAATTTATGTCAGAAAACTCATAAAAGTATACATTTTTAACATCATCTACTTTTAGATACTCTTGGCATCATTGTCATGAATATTAGGTTTGATGCCTCACATATGGGCTAAAATAGCAACATGAGTGCTGCATTACCGATTGCTACAATTCACTTTTTGTAGTTGCATGCATGTGCTTTTATTAATTGGCCATTTTAGGATAGCTACAGCCAATCAGCAATACATGTTTTCTCAAAAGTCTCATTATTGTTTGAAAATATATATGCGGGAAAGTAACTCTCCTTGTTTTATGTTATATGTTAAGTAACAATGAAAATCTTCTGAATGGTGGTCTGTGAGGGTCATCTGATGGTTCAGTGCTTCACCTCCCTGGTTATAAGACTGACTGCATCACCACTGTCTGCCGCTGTGGCTGTATTGTATTTAATATTTAATGCTACTACCCAGAAAAAATAGTATCATCATAGAGGAGGTACATAAAATACCAAAAAGTACTGTGTTGTGAAGGGACATGAGATGGAGTAATACTACTGTGATGTCTTTTGTACAGTGTAAAGGTTGTTTTCAAAAATTGCCTGCATCACAAACAATATGTAGCTATAATGTGGGGATTTATTTAGGATGTGATGTGTGAACAATGCAAAGCACCACTCAGTCAGTCAATCTGTCCTACTTCATCACATCAATCTGAAATTTCATAGAAAACACTGATACGCAAATACACACACACACACACACACACGGTGCATCGGGGAAATATGCACTCTTCTTTCCCTCAGAGGCGACAACTTGAAAACGCAAGCAACCGTGTGTTCTTGATTTCCCCACCTTCCCAAACACACACACAAAGCATGCACACAGCCTGAATGAATCCTGCAGTGGCAGCAGCCCAGAGCGCGCTGCTGTTTTTAATTGAACAGATAACAGAGTGAATGGTTTTGTCTGCAGTGGAAGGAAGCCCGGAAGATTTGTACTCCTTCTGCTGCTGCCTTGCTGCACTGTGGAGACAAACGCCTGGCATCCCTCTCTCTCTCTGCAGTGGCTCAACAATGAAGCATGGGCAGCACGAGGCGCAGACAGGCATACAAATAGGCACGCAGGCGGTATGTGCACATACATAACATGTAGAAACACAGAAACATCAAGCGCTTACCAGCAGGCTTCCTCCAGACTGTTAAAACCCAGGGCAACCCCGGACGCCGTGATCTGCCTCTTTATTTCTCCCCTCGCCCTAGCCTCTATCCCTTCACACACTTTCCTTGTGTCTGTTTTCTTCTCTCTCTGGCTTTCCTCCCCTTTCTCTTCTTCTCTGTTTCTCTCTGTCTCTGCTGTATCCTACAGGACTCCAGCATCCTCCTCTCCATCCCTCCCTCTGCTCTCCACCAGTCTCTACACTGATCTTTTAAGTCTACCAACCTCCTGATCAATGGACAGCCGGCAAAGCAAGTGCTGCTGCCTCCACCTCCTACAGCTTTGTATGTGTGTGTGTGTGTGTGTGTGTGTGTGTGTTCACTGTGAGGATAGGAGGCTTCCAACCCACACACCACTCTCCAGGGCTCTCAGCCTCCACAGTGCCTCATCAGTTGACCACTCCACACCCCTACGCATCAATTGTGTGCATGTGTGTGCAGACCTACACACACAGTAGGGCCATTAAAAGCAAGCCCACATTTCAGTGTCACCTGAAGTTGAATTTTTCTTTTGGGGGGAGGGGGCATGTCTTGAGAAGGGCAGCAAAGCATCCCCAGCAAAGAGCTCTGAACACCTGTGACTCATCTTGATTCTCACAGAGTCGCTCGTAATGGCAGCAGTTACATCCATTAAATGGGTAACCAAGTGGCTTAGCGGTTGAATAGGCAGCTACAGGCCATCCAGTAACTTTAGCATAACAAAAATACTAATTTGTTTTGGCATGAAACGACACTAGAGATGAAGAAAATGACCTCTCCACACCTTCTCGAGAAGTTTTAGAGCTGAGGCTTGATACAGTGAAACGTTACTCCTGTTTGAATCGTTTTTGAATTATAAGAGAATCTGAGCAACCTGCACTGCAACAGGGTTATAAATAGTGATCTAAATTCATCCTCTGTACTGCCTGCTGTTTGAGGCGGAGAAGCTATCAGATGGGAATAAATGCAGGCGATTCAACGGTGGCATCACGAGGGGTTAAATCTAATAACAGCAAAGAAATTACCGGTTTGAGGACCCAGAGTGCTACGCTCAGCAAGCTAAGAGAAACAACATTTTTAGAGCTTTACAATGGCAAAGAAGTGTCAAAATATTGAATTATTTCAACAACATCAACAAAAAAGTTACATTTGGTTTAAGGACTGGAAATATGAGTAATGTTTCATGAAGCTACAGAAAATATAAGAAGAAGTGATAATGAGCAGTGATTGGCACCTTGGCTGAACAGGCAAAGAAGGCTGATTGACAGGTGACAGATGGTGGGCAAACACACAATTATGATGGGTGCTTAGCAGCAAAGATGGTAAAAATAAATAAGCTTAGAGCTACTTTTAACATATTTCCAGCTATATCAGTGTTCATTTCCTTATATATATCTATATATATATATAGATATATAGATATATATAATGTTACTAGACGTGGAACCTGTGGAAGTCTCAGCAAAGCGTCTTGACTCAAGTCTTAAATCACTACCCTTTCTTCTACCAATAGCCTTTATAAGCTGCTACTTGTTTATGATGTGATTTGGAGGAAACATAATTTGTGCCTGGATTATGTTCACTGGCAAAAAAGTTTAAAATCCAGGAAGTTGGACATCCTTCTATGTAGGAGTAGCTGGTTGATGTTATGAGGCACAGGACTCTGAAACTGTCCACTGGGGGTTTGCGTCCCACATGCTGTGGCTATTTAAACACTTGGTTAAAGTGAGGGAAAAATCTTGATTTTTGTTAAAAACTGAAAAAAGTCTCATCTCACTCTTCAAGTCAGTTGACTTTTGCAATATTTAACCAGGACCATGATCTGTCCCCAACCAAAGTTATACGACTTAAAAATGTAGTTTATCATGTTAAACTCAATTTCTGACACTATTTATGGTGGGTATTTATTCTGCTATGGCCATTAAATGAATTTATACATTTAGTTACCTCTCAATATAATAGTTTGCCTTGTAAGTGCCGGAGTCCGCCATTCAAATGACACGCACAACAAAACATATTTGGTTGGTATATGTATAGCTACAGCAATATATAAAGAAGACATTTGTCATGTAATGTAAACACATGCACAAACTGCTACTTCAGATTAGTTTCTCTGAGGGCGTTTCTTGTAATAAACATTTCATATGGAAATCTGTAATTCTGGGATTGCTGAACACATTCAAATGAACAGACACATTATAACCATAACCAAGTTCTTTGAGTTTCCTAAACAGAAACTGTTCACCATGCTTTAGTTGCGAGGAATGGATGAGGTAGGAAAACTAATGAAAGGCTGATAGAAAACATAATGTGGACATCATTGTAAATTTTCATCAAAAAATGTAGCTGCTACTGTAAATATGTGCAGTTTTTAGGAGAAAGAGTAGTAGTAAACTCCTACACTTCCTACACGTATATATATTCACGCACAATGCATTTTACATCAAATGTCATTTATAAAACACCTTCAGAATAAAAGTCACATGAACATAGCCCATGAATACTTTATTTTGTGTTTTTTGCTTCTCCAAACGTATTGTATGCTAATACATGATTGTCTTTATAACCACGACACCTGCATTCTGATTTCTACACAGCAACAGAAGCTCTCTAAATTTAAATCTATGGCAATTGGCTCAGGTTATCAGTGGTTCACTGTTCACTGTCCATTTTCATTATTTGGAGAACGTCCTCTCATACTAGGAAGTCCTGTCATACTAATCTCAGCATGAGACAGACAAAAAGAGAGGTAGCAAGTGGGGTTTGAGTGACAGCATGCATTTCATCAATGTTTTCTTTCAGCGCACGAGGCGGGTGAACGTAAATAGTGTAAATAAAAGCAAGGACATTCTGAAAGGCCTGTAGTCCACAGGTAGTGCATGGGTGGCTATTCAACTTGAAAACAATTTCAAACGGCTGGAGATCGTGGACATAAAAACACACTTCTGTGGCTTGTGTGCTGGTGTGTCACCATGTGTTGGTCTGATGAACGGGATAAACAATATGCTGCACAGAAGAGAGAGGAACTGTGATCAGAAAGCAACACATTTACATTTGATGAAACAGGAAAGGTTGTGGGACCAAACAAACACTAGTTTCTCTGAGGTGGAAGCCTAAAATGTTTGGATTGCAGTCTTGCATCCAGAAATCTGTTATTTAACCTTCTGCTATGATAAAACTTGCAGTCAGGCACTTGCTGTGGTAATATTAGTGCTGGAACTGATAGAAAAATTTCATTGTCTAGTGTTTTGTGGTGTAGATACTGCATGGCGCTTGTTATAATATTGACCTCATTGGTTTTCAGGGCTGGACCTGCTTCGTTAATGAACTGGCAGTCTCTTGAAACATTCAGTGGATTGTTTCCAAACTAATATATCCCATCTTGAAAACTGAACTTGTAAGGTTCAGGGTTGTTTTACAAGACGATGCTGGGAGTAATGCATAATAAAATATGATAGGGTTGAAAAGTGGATGGCAAAAAACTGAAGTAAATTAATTCCAGTGGCAAAGGTGCAACATAGTGTCCTGAGTTCTGGGGTTGTTCACGAAAAAAGTCTCCACGTGTATCTTATTGTCTCTTGGAAAGTTTGACAGATGTGAAGGTTTCCATATAAGTTGAGGCTTTATTAATTCCTTATATTATTGGGCAACAGGTTGTAAAAATCTCTCAGGTATATCTTTCACCAGTACAAACCTTTCTTTGTCTTTTAGCTAGCTTGTTTAGTTCATCATGAAGTCATATGTAATGGACAGTTTGACTACTTATGTAGACAAACCTATGAGCAACAGAAAACATTATACAACCTCATTACCAGGCTGATTTGTACTCATTGTGACGAGTAAACTGAACTGTGTATGTAAAATCTGTGGCATGCACCTTTAATTTAACCTTTATTTACCCAGGAGAAAGCCTGTTGAGATATAAACTAATTTCCAAGGTAGCTCTCTCCAAGAAAGGCAGCAAAACCACATTTAAAAGCGTCATTGACACACATATGACAGTACAATACATATTAACATCTTCTAAGACACCTACATACACTTAAGAAATCCATCCTATGGGAAACATCTACTCTTA